TTTGCACTTATTACGGAGGCAAACAAGGCGAGCTGTGCATGTTAATCCGTGGCACACAAAGCGTTTTGATGAAAGAGCAACGTTCTAAAATAGATGTTTTTTAATGTGGGTGGGGAGCCAAGCAAGGGCTGTGTTCRTAGTGCCCAGCATTATCTGTCCGTGGAGAAAAACAAGCATACCTGGCCAARCATAACAAGATCTGCTGCGTTGGGCTGCAAGGGTTCCCGTTTAACCTTCTCCAGCTCTTGGCCATATCTGCAGTTTGCTGCTGCTTCACTTCCCGTGTTGTCAGCAGCCTGAAGYGGTCCCAGCAGCACTGCCGGCTGGAGAGCAGAGCCTGCGGTAGGTTTTAGTATCCGTGAAATGAATCACACTCTCTTTTGGTCCTTGAGGAAAGTTGCATGGTCATTTTGATATGAAAATTGAACTTGGGACATGATAAGAAGGTGATCCTGGCGGAGGAGGTGTTTGCCGAACCGTTGGAAAAGCCACATGAACTTGTGGATTAAGTAAAGGGGGAGCATCCAGAGATCGGGATTTCATCACTGTGGCTGGCTGACTAAACAAACATTTGCACTGTGTAATACTTCCTTCATGTGCAGCATCTAGCTCTACATGTTTAACTCAACATAAGCCTGTCGATGATTGGATTATTTGCTTAATTTATTTTGCCTGTCCATCAGGTTGGCATCATGCCTTTTGAAAACAGCATTAGTTATAAATCAGAAACATAATCATTAAGTATATAAGAGAAAGCTTTCATGATCTACTGATCTGTATGTGTTCTCCAGGAGGCACCATTAGACCATCTGTGTCTTTAATGACCAGCTGTGTGGGCACCTGCAGTTTGAATGTTTGCTGCAAGGAAGCAGRGGATCCGAGTGAGGCTGAGATGCCTCAGAATATCCGTGCCTGGTGTTTTCAGTGGAATGGAAGCAGTAGGTCTGCAAACAGTAGATTTGCACAGGAGATTGCAAACTATAAACAGATGTGTTTTGATGACCTTATTTCCTCTGCCTGGTCTCCATTTATAAAACRCGTGTTAACAGATGAATTCCTCAGCCTTTTTTAGGCACCTGTGAGAATACACACGTGCTCATTTCCATTGAAATTGTGGAGAGAAACCAAAAGAGTTCGTTGCTCCGTGCTTGGATTTCACAGGAATGAGGTTGGCATTACTGGGAGGTCGTCATTGCAGTTGGAGATGGTAGTTCTCCCAGGTCACAGCCAACAACACTAGATGAGTGTGGGACATCTCCTTGTTCACTCTGCTGTGGTCTGAAAGAAGGATGAAGGAAAGTCCTCGTGGGAGATTCTCATCCCTGTAATCACAGTCTGTCCTGCCTCTGTCTCTGCAATGGGGAGAATGCCATGGGTTAGACACAGAATTTGAGATTTATCTACAAATAAAAGATGAATGGTTTTATTCATCTCCTCCATGGAAGCCYGGAGAGACAAAGTCAAAATTTCTTGGCATTCTATACAATTGCATGCACCAATTGCCAGTATTTGAGGAATATAAATATGGTCCCCACTAATATAAATAATATAAATATGGTTTAATATAAATAATAGAGGTGGGGAGAAAGGTAGGCAAAAAGGAGTGCTGTGCTCAGGGGRCGGGTTGTGTCTGTGTGCAAAGGGAACAAGAAATGGCATCTCCCTGGCTTCTGCTTTCACATACAGTTCACAAGTCAGGGCTGCTTCTTTCTCTTCTCCAAGCGAACCAGGATTTAACTGTAGCAAGCAAACACAAATGTCCATACTGCTTGGGTATAGGATAAAGAAAATGTTGGAAGCAACMTGATGGTGGCAATCCTCTGCAAGACTCCTGTGTTTTTGAGTCTGCAATAAATGCATTTTATTCCTAGTTTGTTTAAGGGAGCCCTGCTCTCTTCCTTGCACGGTTTGTACCTCTCCTCATTAGTCCCTTTTGCAGCATGTGGTCTTTGAAGTTTGAATCCCAACCTCTTTCTGGCCTGGCACTAGGAAAAACGGCAGCCCTTAGGCTTAGGCAGCGCAAGGTAGATTTTCAGCTCCGTGAGCAGCAGCTCAGTTACCTGCCTTGCTCTGCTCTTAATGGGGATCATGCTGCTGAATTCCTGTGCACCACGTTGAGCTTTTCCTCGTGAATGCAGAGCTGGCAGCGCTGCTGAACCTTGGCTGTCAGGTAACATGGTGTGTCGGGAGGGGGGTCTGGCAGCCTCAAAGGGCTGCTGAGCGCCCAGCTGCACGTCTGCCTTGGCTGCATCAACGTATTTTCCAAAAATAATGGTGTGAATTAATGCTCTCGTGTATTAGCTTTTCCTCTGTTAGGGATCAGCCTTGCTCCAGTATCCCGAAGAAGTCAAGAACATACAGAATCACAGGATCTTAAAGGCTGGAAGGGACCTCTAGAGATCATCTAGTCCATGATCATCTAGAGATCATCTAGTCCAACATGTTTGAAGTGTAAAGGTTTTTGCTATCATCTAGTGTTGGCGATTTACTTTCATGCGTGTTTTCCAAGCTGTTATTTTATTTTCTTAGGACTATGGGACAGAGTCATCAAGGCCAGGCCTTTTCTACCACCAGCTCCTATAGTCCCTTTCACAAACTGATCCAATTCTTTTGCCTCTGCTGCTTTGTCAACGATGATTTAGGTGATTTATTTCTGGTGATTTTAGGTGACATGATTTCTAGTCTATGTTAYTCACAAGCATTTTATACCCTTTACATCCTTTAGTCCTGATCCTAAGGCATCCATTGCAATCACAGCCTCTTCTCATCTGCAAACTCYGCTTTATCTGTAAATAATATTTAATATTAACAAAAATATTAAACCAGTCAATTTCATGATTCAGTTCTGAAGGAACTGCTAACTTAATCTCCCTCCATCGCAATCTTTTATTCGGATTATTTCAATTATAAAGTAATTCATAATCTCAGTGCTGAGAAGATAAGTGCTGTAGTACTTGCAACATAAGAGAGAATATACAAGAGAAAAAAAAAGGGCCCTGTCACATAAACACAGAATCTCCTTGTCCTTTCCCACCGACATACCCTTCCATTTGGGGAAAATCCTGTTGTATAAAATGGGCCTGCTGATACTATCAGAAAATGAACCACGTGTTTGTACTGGGTATAGTCTGACCTGAGGAGGGGTCCATTTTCATTCACATGGATATCCCATTTCTTCTTTATCCACTTAGGATCCTAACTGGTCACCTGAACTAAAGGGCAGCCAGAGGCCTGGGTTGCAGTGGCCAGTCAACATCTAGAGCAAAACTTTGCAATTTCCTTGTTAAATGGGACGTGGAGGGGGGAGAAGCTTTTGCTGCCGCAGTTATTTGACTGTGAAGGAGCAGCTGCAAACTGAGGAGTCTCATCAGGCTGCAATCCTGCCTTCCAGGGGGCAAATTCCCCCTGCTAGGAGGATAAATACCCCTCCTTTGTCACTGTCCCTTGCATTAAACAATAGATTATTGCAGTGGAGCAAGAGAACCTAAATGTTAATCAAATCATTCTTCCAAATGAATGGAAGTAGCACCCGGAATATAAACATTTTAATTTTGGAAAGCAAGGTCTGCGTCTTGGCTCCATGGTTTTCTATAAACTTTGTAAAGCTGCTTACTAACATTTTGGGCATTGCATATAACACCATTTCCAGCGTTCAAGTTACATATTTCCTGCCTTTTCCAAGTAATGAAGTGGAGGGAGTAAGGGAAAAATAAAATCTTCATTCATATCACTTAGCAGAGGTCAACACCTTCTGTTGCCTAACTGCCAAAGTATGTGATCACGTTAGCTTTTGGTGGAGGAAATGGGAAGTATTTTCCAGCTGGAACTTACACCAGGAAACATCTTTTAAAATTGCTTGCTATACACTGGGGTGATTACCTGTGTAAATAAGTGTGTAACTCTGTGCAGATGATGAACTGGCTTTGAGAGTTTTTTAAGAGTTTCAGCCTATTTCTGTGTGTGCCGTTGGAGCGGACAGAGCCTTTCCCCACATGGCTTCTGTGCTTCCCAGGAATCTCAGCACACCTCAGTGTGACCCCCGTTGTGGGATCTTCTCTCCTCCTATCACTACAGCTAAAGAATGTGTAAAAACACCTCATGGCTTCCAAATTATGCTGTGGGTTTTGGTCAGAGCCCAGTGTCCTCGTGCCGGGAGGCATCCCCGTGCCCTCGGTGGAAGACAYTTCTCTTAGGGAAGTCCATGGAGCCGCACAGCAGTGAAGGGACATGTCTAAGAGGCGCGAGGATTTGGTGGTTAGGGTCCAAATCCCGGTAGTTCTGTGGGCTTTCCTGACTCCTGGAATCACTGGATTTCCCCAGTTTTCTGGGGGAAATTCCTCCTCACAGCAGAGCGATTAGGTGAAATTCTATAAGGGCAGATGTATGAAGTTTGGTCTGATAATTCCGGTTTTGTGGCCTGTGTTCGCCAGGGTGGTTTGTGGGTCGTTGGGGAGGAGTTTCCTACCTCAGAGATGAGGRTCAGCCAGAGTGAGCTCCATCCCTCATTCCTGACTGCCACCCCTCCAGGCCATAGATCTCTTCTACCCCTGGAAATGGAATGGTCACTGGAAATGTTGGGATGCCAGCGGGCTGAGCCATAGGCAGCAGGTCCCCATGCCCCCAACCCGAACAGAGGGAGCATTCGGCCTCCGCTCCCTCCTAGTCWTCAGGAACCTCTTGCTACAGCCTTTAGCCTCAGCTGTAGCTSTACATCATTTTGCATTGTCCTGTCYTTGGACAAAAGCAACCTCATCTTTTGAAGATGATCCATGGGAATGAACCATCCATCACTTCTGGCCATGCTCTGTATAGCATTGGTGTGAAGGCCCTTTAGAGTCACCCATTTGGTTTCTTCTTGCCAGTCTGTCTTAAGTCAACTTACATTAATGCTTTTGTGTTCACACATGCATTTTTAGTCCCCTTCCAGGCATAAAAAGAACCACATTGTTGAGGTGACTGCAGCAGTTAGCATCGTGTGACGTGTCCTTTGTTTCTTGAAGCCCAACATTGGGCGACTAGGAATTCCCCACGGACCTTCGGGGGAGAAGGTGGCCGTTGTAACCGTGGATGACTGCGACACGGCGGTGGCCGTGCGCTTCGGGACCCTCATCGGCAACTACACGTGCGCTGCCCAGGGCACGCAGACTGGATCGAAAAAGTAAGGATTCTCTGCATGCCTTTTCCACCCGCTCTCTCATTTCAGGGAAGAATCAACAATATGTGATTGGCCTCTAGACAGATTAGACTACAGAATGAAATGCAATTTAACAAGAAAAAAATGACAAGTTTTAATTGAGTAGATGAAATTTGGTGGAGGCAACTGCAAGAGTTAGCATAGTGAGAGGAATACGTTGATCATCTCCTATACAGATATGTGTCTAAATTACAGAATCAAAAAAAAATCTGAATGTCATTGTCTCCAAAAAACTGTATACTTAGTATGCAAATATGGAGAGAAGGGGAAATAAAATGTTAAGCTTTATTAAGGGCATGGCTGAACAGCTTGTTACTGCCATCATTTGAGTTAATAYTCCTATCTTAAAAGGACGTAGAAATAAAGGAGGTACATAAAAGATCAGTGAAATCTTTGCCTAGGGAAAAAGAGTTTCCTGTGAGGAAAGGCTGGAAGCTTAATGTTACTCAGTTTAAAGAGGAGATGGATTGCAAGCAACATAAGAAAGATAAAATAATTACTGATTAGAGAAAGGCCATTGAGATACACATACTGCACTAAAATGACAAGGGGAACATCATAAACTTTAGGGCTAATTCAAACTGACCAAGTGTTATTAAGACTAAGATCTTCAGAGGATTAAGAAAAGGTTGAACATTTTGTGATAATGAGGTCATTRTATCAAAATCAAAATCTTCTGGTGCATAGTGTAAAGTAACTGCTGGGAACTGGAGTCAGAAGTGTCCTGCAGCTGAACATTGTCTCATAGTTTTCATTTCCTTTCTCTGATATTGCCCACTGTCAGAGGCAGATCACTGCTTTTCTATGTGTGTATGACAACTCCTGATTTACAGGTTACAAACTTTTTGTAATGACACTGAGATTGATTGTTTTTTTGCTACRTCCTTTTAATTACAATCCCTGAAAAAGCAGATATAGTTGTAAGGAAGTATGTGGCAATATCAGTAAATTAAACATCTCAAATGAACTTCTGGGAAACAGCAAGGTACACACAACAAAACAAACTTGAGCTCCAAAACTGTGACCACTTCTTTGTTTCTTTAGATCTTTGGACCTGACGGGTCCCCTTCTGCTTGGCGGTGTCCCGAACTTGCCTGAGGACTTCCCTGTGCACAACAGACAGTTCGTCGGCTGTATGAGGAACCTCTCCATTGACAGCAAACCAATTGACATGGCCAGTTTCATAGCCAACAACGGCACCTTGCCAGGTAGAAACTGCTGCATCTTCCAAAGTCAGCAAGAAAAGGCACCCAGCAGTGTATTCGTGGGTGTAACTGGGTTTTAGGATTCAGGGGAGACGCAGTGGGAAACCCCATGGCACCAAGGGGTCTGCAAGAGCACCAGCGTGTCCTGTTGGTCCCCTTATTGTGGGGTCCTGGCTCCAGGCCGTACAGAGGGCCASCAGGCTCCTGCCCATCACAGTATGGTTGCCCCCAGGCTCCCTGCACACCTTGCTTGTTTGAGCAAGGTGTAATCCACACCGGTGCCAAGGATGCACACCCACAGCATGGTGTGCACCACTTGCAGCACCAAGTGGCACTTCAGGACTGGTCTAGACCTTCAGCATTCCTGCCATTTCACCCAGGAGTTTGCCCCTAAATAAGTCTTTGCTCTTGGAAAAAAAAAATAATTACCCATTAAATGTCACTTTGCTCTGAGAACTGATTAGTTCGTGAGAAAGGAAAATGATTTCAGTGATTTTTCAGCAATTGTGCTTATCCTTTAAATCAAATTCTGCAGTTGCTTGAAGGCTGGGGCTTGCTTCATGAAGTTGAGTTTTCAGTGTGGTTTCTAATGCCGAGATCACTGACCATGATTAGCTCTGAYGCACAAAGTGCTCTCACCGTCACAAAACTGGCCATTAATGGAGGAATGAAAAGTCCCTTTCCTCTGTAATACCTAAACTGCAGCTTTTTTAGATGTGTTGCCTTGATTGTGGATTACAAAGGGAGTTGCAACACTAATTTCAAATTACTCTTTTGTTTGAGGCTTTCTTTTTTATTAACAATTATACCTCTAAGATTAGTTAAACACAGGGATTTACTTTATGAAAATAGATAGCAGGAAGAGTATAACAAAAGAAAAAGGCATTTTCTTCAGGATGGATGTTTTTTCTCATTTGGAAGGGTGTTCTATATGTTTCAGCACCAAAGTTCATAGTAGTGTTGCACAAGTTTGTCACACCACATGTTGGCTTTCCCTGGGAAATGTCTTAATTATGTGACATTAACTTAAAGACAGTGATCCTGAGTCACAGCATTGGTCCATATGGCTCTGTCCCACCATGGCCAGCTGTGGACTCCAAGGGAAGTAGATGAAAACAGGACAAGCAAGCAGTGGTATTTCCCTAGATTTTTCTCTTGGTCCCCAAAGATTTACAAACTAGGGACTGTATTTAGTAGCCTTTGATAGATTTTTCTTTATGAGTTTGACATTTGTTGAGCTGGTGGAAGCTTTCTACTTAACTGACTTCAAGGGTATGAAAGAAAGAAAAGCTACAATGATTGAGTTATCTTTGACAGACTCTCAGCTACAGTCATTCAGAGCCTTTGCTTTAGTTAAACCAAGAGCCGAGGATGCCGTGGGGTGATGTGGCTCTTGTGCCCAACGACACAACTTTCAGGGGGTTTCGAGTGACTATTTTGCTGGCTTGCAGGCTGTGCAGCTCAGAGGAACTACTGTGAGAGCAACTGGTGCCAGAACGGGGGCACGTGTGTGAACAAGTGGCACACGTACATCTGCGAGTGCCCCGTGCGCTACGGCGGGAAGAACTGCGAGCAAGGTAGGATGCACAAGCCTCTCCCTGCCTGGTACGTGTGCACGGAATCACGGAGAGGTTGAGGTTGGAAGGGACCCCTAGAGCTCATCTAGTCCAACCCCCTGCTCCAGCAGGGACACCCAGAGCACGGGACACAGGGCGGCATCCAGGCGSCTTTGGAAGATCTCCAGAGAAGGAGACTCCACAGCCTCCCTGGGCAGCCTGTGCCAGGGCTCGGGCACCCTCACAGCAAAGTAATTCTCCCTCATACCTCMGTATTAAACTTACTGTGCTTCARTTTGYTCCCATTACTCCTTGTTCTGTCAGTGGCCACCACCAAGAAGAGTTCGGCCCCATCCTCTTTACATTCTCCCCTCAGGTATTTGACAGATGGTCTGTGGGTGCAGACACGAATCACTGCCATATTGCAGCTCTACACCTTTCATTTGTGGTCGTTAGCATGGGTGGCAAGCTGCTGTGCTCTGGGGGTAGGTAATGGAAGATTGCAACTAAGACTAGAACACCCAAATGTATTTGGAATAATTGTGGGGTCATCTAACTAGAAAATGTGCTATCTGACTTACTGTGATTAATAGTTAACCACTTTGCTGATTTACTTGCATTAACAAAGTAGTTCCATGGAGCCTGGCAGTATTTAGGAATTTATTTATAGCAAAAGTGCCTGGTCCTAAGCCCCTTTAAAATAGTGGAAAGATCCCRCTGACTCTATTGGGCTTTGGCTCAAACCAGGGACGAATGTGCGTTTTTAATCACCCCTTTCGKGGTGAGAAGGCAGTCTCTGCTGAGGAAGAGCACTTTCAATTTTATTGTTTTTTTCTTGAATTGAATGCAGTGTGCCTATACGTGTAAAACCTCATTAATGAGGGATGAGGAAGAAGCAGCAGGTGTGTTTTATAGGGAAGCAGAGGGTTGTAGTTAGTTCCTTCCTTCCTGAAGAAGCAAGGAGGAGTCGCCCGGCCACAACCCTGGAGAGGGTACATGGGGTTAATCGCTCAAGCTTGGCTAGCAGTCATTTACTGATAGTCACAATACTTTACTTTGCTTTTTTGCAAATAGGGAGAGAAAGGGCTTGTGGCCAGCACTGCCCTTTTGCCCTCTGTACCCCTTCACACACCCCATTTTCCCTTTTAGAGAGCAGCAAAGCAGAGAGGATGCAGTTCTAATTTCTTTATTTTTCTCCAAATAATGCCATTTCACATCAACCTGACTCCGTATTCTGCAGTGATTTCACCACTCTAAGCCACTTTACAGCCTGCAGGGTGGATGTCTCCCTGCTTTCCATCAGTGAAGTGCTTTTCCTTGGCTTTCATCAACAGCTGTTATTTGGGCAGGAGCAGAGCTGAGGGCACCACCGCAGCACTCAGCTCTTGATGTTGAAGGGAGAGGATTTTGGTGATTCCACAAGAACTTTCTCCCCATGAAAAGACTGTGCAGCTCACACAGATGAACAGTCTGGCCCTGCAGTATTTGAAATTAATTAATATTTCCTGCAGACCCAGATCCATTTCCTCTGTTTAATCTGGTTAATTAGAACCAGGTAACCAAGGATATGCTGAAAATGTTTGTAGTAAGTATTACCCTCATGCTTCCTGCTTTGTCCAGCTGCTCATTTACAAAGTTATTATCAGTAGAGACACTGAATTTGGCTTTGTGGGAGCATCTCTCATTTGGGTAGTACAGTTGGTATTGTCTTAAGAGCAGAGATGGGTTGTTCACAACCAAGATGGGTTGTGAATTTATAGTATTTTTAGGTGTTCCCAGTAACTCCCCTGGGTCAAATCTTACCCTGTAATTAATGAAAACCAGCTCAGGGGAAGAGGGAGTAGTTACCTTGCATCCAGCCTCCTTTGCAATGTTGTCCCCCTCCTTAGCCTTTGCCTCCAAGGATATCAAGTGTTTCTGTCATCTCCTGGTTTGCAGTGATGCCTTCTCCTCAGCGGTTCAGCGGGGAGAGCGTCGTCATCTGGAGCGACCTCGACATAACCATCTCCGTGCCCTGGTACATCGGCCTGATGTTCAGGACCCGCAAAGTCAACGGCATGCTGATGCAAGCAAATGCTGGAGCTGCTTCCAAGATCAACATTCAGGTGAAAAATGGGGCCTTTCCTGCTTAGAAAATAAATTCGCTCCACTCCCTCTCTTCTCCCATGCCAGTGTGACCCACATATCAGTGGATATGGCTACAGAATCTACAAATCTGTTTAGTCAACCTGTCCAAACTTGCACCCATACGTACAAATAACTTCTTCAGAATTTGACTTTCCGTMCTTCTAGAATTTAGATATTTTGGAGGGAGGTGATGTTTTTAAACAAAGGTACAAGTATCCATTGTTATAAATGAGAAAAATAGCTTTTTAATGCCTTTTTTTTTCTGTCAATGAGGTAAGTTAGAATGTCGAAAGTTATAGACATTATTTGCAAGTGTTTCATTTTCTGTGTTTCCCTTTGGGATTTGTTTAGGAAGCACTGTTATCTCCCCCTCTAAACAAATAGACWGCAAAAAAATAGAGATTTTTTTCAACAGATACTGAACAGCTATGTGCAGTTTGAAGTGTACAGTGGCCTAAGCCAAGTTGCTAGCTTGAAGATGACCCAGTCACGAGTCAGTGACGGCGAATGGCACCACTTATTAATAGAGCTAAAGAGTGCTAAAGATGGAAAAGACATCAAGTACCTGGCTGTCATGTCCTTGGACTACGGGATGTACCAGGTGAGGCAGCATCGTAATTTTGTCATTAAGCATTACAGAAGTATTTTCAGTAGGTTAGTAGGTTAAAGTAGGTTAAAGAAGTGTGGAAAAATCCTTAGCTGTGAGCTGTGTTCTTGTGCTTAATGAAGTCACATTATTTTATTAAGCCTAATWAAAAAACGGTGACAAAAAAAGGAAAAAAGTAACATTCAGATGTCTAGCTCCTGACTGCTTGGGGCATTTTTCTTTAGTCTGTAGTCAGCTCCTGCTTGACTCCATCACTGCAGAAAGTCTCTGCCAGCGTTACCAAGGATGATCGTGCCTCTTACCTGCTGTACTTTTCTTCACCAGAGCACTGTGCAGATTGGAAATCAGCTGCCTGGGCTGAAAATGAAAAGCATCATTGTGGGAGGTGTCTCTGGAGACCAGATCTCGGTTCAGCAGGGATTTTATGGCTGTATGCAGGTATGGATGACAACCATTAGCAGCCAGCTTTGAACTTACAAGAAAATACTCATATGAAGGCGGGTGGAGTTTGGGGTGTTTTTTTCCCCTTTTCATACCTCCCCAGACATTCTTGTTTCCTCCATCAAAATATTTTAAGAATCAAAATAGTAAAGTTCATACACTTTCCCAAGTACAAATCTAAGCTTGTAGAGGAATGGCTTTTTTCTTCAGCTTCTCTGGTTTGATCAAAGACCATCATTTGAAAAAAATCTGGTTTTGCCTCATATCTTCAGGTGGRGCCTCATAGATTAATGGAGTTATTGAGAAATGTGATACTATATCTTAAAAGATAAATTAGTACAGTAATTTTTTTTAAATATTGTCTTTTGTGACTAAAAAACTTGTCTTTTGTGACCAGGGTGTAAGAATGGGAGAAACATCCACAAACATAGCGACACTCAACATGAAACAGGCTCTCAAGATCAATGTGAAGGAGGGCTGTGAAGTGGACAACCCCTGTGACTCCAACCCATGTCCTCAGCACAGCTACTGCAGTGACGACTGGGACAGCTACTCCTGTGTCTGTGACCCAGGTAACGCAGCAACCACCACACACATTAATCCAGGAGCTGCAGTTGCATCTCCTTGGCATTACCTTGCACAGCACAGGTTCTTCTTCCTCTTCCACTTGGTGGTTTCTTTCCCTGCTTTTCTGCAGCACTCTAGTAGCTGCAGTCGTAGACTAAAGAGTTGTTCCAGGCAACTTAACATTCAAACAAGAAAACAGTATCTGTTCCAAAGCCTTTTTCAATATACACCCTTTTTTTTCCCCCTTTTTTCTTTTCCTTTCTTTCCCAGTCTTTCCCGCTGTTCAATTTCTGTCTCACACCCTGCATCCTAATAGAGATGCTTTGAATGTTTTCTCTGTTTCGGTGCATGTACCCAGCACAGGCTGTCAGCACCCAGCGTAGTCACCTCCCGTATGCATGGGGAGAGAATACAAAGCTCTCTGTAACACATGGTCTGAATATAAAACTCGGAACTGACAACCCAAGGGTGCCCCAAGCATGTCAGCAGACTGTCAGAAAGAACAGCTCACTATCATTTTTTTACTGAGAGGAAAAAGAGCACCTTCTTTTTGACAGTATCTCGGGGGAGATCTACTGATTATTGAAGATGTGTTATTAGTGCGTAAGCTTAAAATAGATGGTCTTTTGGAGAAATGCAAATCATAAATTACAGTGGTTTCTGTAATTTTATGACCTTGTCTCCCCAGGGTACTTTGGGCGAGACTGCGTTGATGTGTGTAACCTGAACCCCTGTGAGCATGTCTCCACGTGCGTGCACAAACCCAGCTCATCCCACGGCTACACCTGCGAGTGCGGGCAAAGCTATTTCGGGCAGTACTGCGAGAGCAAGTAAGGGACTGCTTTTTATTCTTTGGTTTCTTGAGCTTTCCAGGTACCTCCGCTCCGAAGGCGGCAGTCCCTGCTCTTGCTTGTCCTGCTGTAGTTGTCTGCCCTGGCATTATTGGAGTGTTCACAGTAGCKGATATTCACATGCCTGCTGCCCTTGGGACTGCTGAGCTCTCTTCCCATCAACCGTGACTGATGTATTTCCATATACTCCCAGGCCACTGTCTTTCATCAGCACTGCAAGGACCAAGCCCATAGAGCTCTCTTTACACCGCATCTGACCTCTGCATTTGGGCTGACCTGACCTGAGCTGGCTCTGCCCCTCTCTAGCAGTTCCCCCAAGGCACGTGCAGAGCAATGGACACATTTAGGTGGCCTGCCCAGATGAAATGGCTTTGCAGGTTGGATTCATTTCATGGGCTGGCAAAAAAAGAATGCTGCTTCTTCTGGCAGGTGTGAGTCTTGTTGTGTGGTAGAAACCTGCTGATTCCCTCATCACGAGCTTCCTAGTCTCAGGACTTCCCTGTGAAAACTGCAAGCCTCTTTCTCCTCCTTTGCTGTATTGCCTTGCAATATTGGCCAAATTCATTTTTCGTTCCCCTGGATTAGCAATGTGGAGGGGTTGCCCCTTGTCCTTATCTGCTAACGTATGTCAAGTGCAGCACTGTTTTTCTGTATTATAAAGGCTAGAAATACAAACCATGCAACTACCACAAGCCATTACCACAAGCCAACTTCATCATGACCCTCTGGACAGCAGCAAGCAGCTTTTCTTTCCCTAAGCAGGGAGGGGATTCCTGTGTGCATTACTGCACTGGAGGTGCAGTCTCCAGGCTGTTGCACAGTGAGCACTTCCAGTTAGAGAGGCCTGAGTGTCCCGGCCTCTCCCCAGAGCTGTCCTGGCCAGCATGAGGGTTATCTCCCAGCGAGGTTGGTTTTGGGTTGCTGCACAGCCTGTGAATAGCCATGGTGCTGCTCCAAGCAGCTGAGATTAAGAGACAGGCCAGGGGTAGGAGACAGGTAAGATGCTGCTTTCAGAAGCAGTGACAGCTTTGCCCCACTGAGGTGTTTTATGCAGCCTACTGAGGTGTGAGACTTTCTCAACCAAAGCTGCCACAGTTTTCTCCTCTGTGTCCCCAGCCACGTATTTCTTACCCATTCCTTGTGACTGTGCTTTTCTGACCCCATGGTGAGCTGGCTGAGAAAGCYAGATTGGCTGAAGATAGTGACTCTCCCTCATTGTGGCAGTTTGCAGCCAGTTTTGCCCCCTGAGCCTGTGTGCCCTGGGGCTGGATAAGCTCCGATGCCAGTGGTAGGGAGTAGGACAGGACCACATGGACCTGTGGCACGGTGGGTGGCAGCACCACAACCTGCCCTGGCAGTGCCCAGGCATCAGTCAGGGCCCCTGAACTGGCCCTAAACCCCTTTTTTCCCACTTTCTAAGGGCAAGCTTAAAGTACGATTTCAATGTGATGTTTTTTTTTATAGGATTGACTTGCCTTGTCCCAGAGGCTGGTGGGGAAATCCCATTTGTGGTCCTTGCAATTGTGAGACCAGCAAGGGGTTTGATCCCGATTGCAATAAGACTAATGGAGAATGCCGTTGCAAGGTGAGCAAAATTTCTTTCGATTAAAAAATAGCTATATCACTAATGCAGCTGACTATCTGAAGGAAAGGACGCACAGTTGTTCTTTGCATCATGTATATTCATGACATAACTAATCTTCACCTAAAAATTTTGCTGGCACTACCCCTCACAAAATCATACTGTGCAGCTCTTATGTGCAAATGGGAAACAAATCTGAGAAAATTGAGAATCTAAGAAATCCTGGCTTCGGATTTCTCTGAAGTACAGCCCAGTTTATCAGGGGAGATCAGCCCTGTGAGCAGAGGAATGCTGGTGATTATTTTGTTATATCGCAAGTGAGTAATAGCCATAAAATGTCTCAGTCCTGCTGGTGAAACTCTCTTCTGTACAGTGGGTGAGCAAAAGCCCTGCCTTTTGAGCTAAATTTGAGAAGGGAAGCATTTTCCTCATAGACAGCTCCATTGAGCTGAAGAGGACTTTGCAGCAGACCTGTAGGACAGTAGGTATACCCAGCATGGGAGCTGGCCTCCTCCCCTTAGGTTTTACAGTGGAGTTTTTACAATAGGTTTTGAAACAGATTTGAAGGATAGAGCAATTATGTCTGTTGAAACTGTGGCAGTGAATCTGGCCCGTGTGCCTTTCCTAAATGACACCAACAGCTCGGTGACACTGAGCMAGAGGGGTGCCAACACCATTGTCTTGTGTAATCCCATCAGGCCTCAGATCAAAGGCATTTAAAGATRTGATTTCAGTACATGATTACCGCTTTCCCTCTACATCATGCTTAAATGGGCAGTGCAGGAAGTTTTCCTATTAGTTTGTTCTGCCCTAGCAGACGAGAATTGCAGGGCAGGGAAAACCACAAGCTCTCTGGGAATGCCTTTGCTGGGCAGTGCCCGTGAGCACAGGCTGAATAACGTGGGCCGTGGCCGGAACGCCGGGTGCCCGGGGCTCAGGGTGGCCCTGCAGCCCCTGCTCCGCCCCATCGCCAGGGCTGCTGCAAGTCACACCAGCAGGATACACTTCTCACAGCTATTATTTTTCCTGTTATAATAATGGTTTTCCTAATAGGAGYGTAATTATTTTCCTGTGCTGAAGTAGCCAGCAGCATACTACCTGGGTAACTGGAAAGGCTTTTGTGACGCATGGAAGTAGTTCAGAAACACTGGAAATGCAGGATAAAAACCCCAAACCTTGTGCTGGTCCTTTCTAGGCCAATTACTACAAGCCCCAGAGCAGCGACACGTGCTACCCGTGCGACTGCTTCCCCTCGGGCTCCCACACGCGCACCTGCGACATGGAGACGGGCCAGTGTCCCTGCAARGCCGGCGTCATCGGGAGGCAGTGCAACCGCTGCGACAACCCCTTCGCCGAGGTGACCACCAGGGGCTGCGAAGGTACCTCCTCCTGGCACTGCTTCCCATCCACCGGGCGGGATATCGGCCCGGAGCCCTCAGCGAGGGAGAGACGGGGAGCACCAGGCCAGGGCTTTGGTCATCAGGGGTGGTGGGAGCTGCCCTAGCCTTGACCCGGCCCCCTGCTCCGAAATCCGTGTCAGTAGGAGCCACAGGGRTTGAGAAAAGTCCTAGTATTCCCCCTAATTTCCCTCAAATGAAAATATGTTTGGCTAAGGATTTGGGGGAAGCAAAACGCGTGAATCCTGGTTGTGCTGGAAGCAGGAGTTGCCCAGCGGGTGCAGTTAYACCCAAGGCATCGCTCGGGCCTGGTGCAGGCCCAAGTGCCCTCTGCGGGAGCCACCACCCCAGTGCCAGCCCCTAGACCGGCTCTGCCGCCTCCTCTGCCCTTCTCTTCCCACCAGCACCAAGCCGAGGGAGCCACCGGCCCCCTGCTCCGTGTGGATGAGCAACCCAGTCCCATGAAAAAGGAGCAGGCAGAGATATAAAACCCAGCACCCTTCATCATCCCCAGCTTTCCCTACATCATCCCCAGCTTTCCCTTCATCATCCCCAGCTTTCCCTTCATCATCCCCAGCTTTCCCCTCGTCATCCCCACCTTTCCCCTGCCTGAACCTGTCTCGTGGCATGGCTGGAAAGGAGCAGCTCATGGGCTGCACTTTGGACAACATGCCAGGGAGCAAAAGCCCTGACTCAGCTTGGGAAGGGCCTTTTGGCAGGTGTAAATATCTCCTCGTGGTTGCTGTGTGATTTTAGGGTGCCAACAAAACTGCATCGTCTCTTTTTTTCCCTCCTTTCAGTAATATACAATGGGTGTCCCAAAGCTTTCGAGGCTGGTATTTGGTGGCCACAGACCAAGTTTGGGCAGCCAGCTGCTGTGCCGTGTCCGAAGGGATCAGTGGGTAAGTTCCCTGAGTAAAACATTAACAATTCTATCTGCTTGCCTATGAGGAGAAAAGAAGAGAAAAATTGTGTGCAGAGGGTAAGGTGTTAATTCATTAAGTCTAGAGATTACAACATAGCTTATGCAAGTCACGAGATGAAAAGTTTACCTAGTGAAACCTCAAGAGCTGTTAAAACACCTTTGGAATAGAAGCAAAAAAGTAAATACGAAAGTGCAGCATATACATAAATATATGCAAAGAAGGGAAAGTCTGAATCTGTATTTTCACAGTCAGCTTTTCTGTTTTCTATTTATCAAGCAATTTTTATACGTGTAACTTTTAGTTTCTAATGGCTTACACATGATGTCTGGCGCTAGAGCTCCTCTGGGCAAATTTAAAATGAAGACAACCATTTATGTGATGATTGCTTTCCTAGCATTCCTGGCTAATAAAGCTAAGAGTTACAACAGAACTCCTATTTTTCCACCAAACATTTTTTTTTTTCTCTACACCATCATTCAAGTTGCTGAAAATCATGTTTTATCAAGCACACGAGTCATTTTATACTGCAAGTGAACGACAGTGCAGTTTTCTCTGTGTGTCTGGTAGTGTTTATCTCTCAGAGTACCAAAGCAGGTTTGCAAACTGTGTTYACAACCTTTTGTGAAGTGTGTGCTATGGGAAATGAAACCTCTGTCTGAGTTCTAGGCCTGGTGACTTTTATCTGCTGTTAGCACTGTTCAGGTTCAGTGAATTATAACTGATTATGTAACTTCTGCAAATGTTACCAGAAGGTATGTCACGGAGCCTAGGTGTGCGGAAGGTCCCTAATCAAACAAGCTCCTGTTCTGAAGAATTTAGGAGATTGAAATGACTTTTCTTTTTTTTTTCCCTGTAAGTGAACATTTGCCTTGTTAAACGGTATGAAGCTGAATTAAGTAACTTTTCTCACTAAGTTTTCACTTTCTGTGATTGACCCCAGTGTAATCTCTACAGACTGTCAGGCACAGATGTATCTGTGTGAACTGAAGTTTGCCTCCCTTTCTCTAGAGCTTGGAGAAAATGATTTGGAAATATCAGTAACCTCAAGGTTTCTTCAGACAGGGATAGCAGTTTGGAAAGTGAGATATGTGCAGCTCTCCAAGGAGCTTGCAAGAAGAATCACATGAAAATGTATTCAGAACAATTCAGAAGATTGCATTTTGTTAATGCTTTGTTTCCTCCAGGGAATGCGGTTCGACACTGTAACAAYGAGAAGGGTTGGCTGCCTCCTGAGCTTTTTAACTGCACCACCACCACTTTTATGGAGCTAAAGATCATGGTAGGCTGTATTTTCTTGTATTTAGTACTCCAGAGTATGATGAACTAGTCAGGGCCAACTGCTATTTGCATGTGGTGAATACATTTGGAACACAGCAAAATCCACAGACAAATAATTTCTCAGATTTAGTGAAGTCTGGTAAGGATATATTCATAGCTGCTTATACAGTGGCCAAATTTTGAAGCAGGCACTCTAGTATGTATCCACTGAATATTGACACTCCARATCTGCATTTGGTATGATTTGCTGTGTTTTCATTGGCTTCATATAGACAATATTGATTTACATAGATGATAATCTAGCATGGTGACCTTTCCAAGTGATTTGCTGCCATTTTCCCTTGGATTTAGAAGAGATTTTCTTCGATTTCATGTGTTACCCTCTTGCTAATTGTTCATCTATACATTGCTGAATTTGTTTCAACACTACTAAAGCACATAATGTTAATGTTTAGCTGCATAGTTTCTCATACAGCTTTTCATTTCAGTTTGTAAGTGAACGTGAGTTCATWCTGCAGCCTGATGTCCCCATATACCATCTCTTAACCGAGTCTTTGGATCCTGCGTTTCCCATCCCAASCCTGTATTTTTTCTGGCTCCAAGTCATGTTTTGCTTTGCATTGTCCTATTCAGTCTTTCTCAAGACAAACTACATTTTTTATCAAATCACTCCTTTGTGCCAGAATTCCCTAGATGATGAAGAATGCCTTTGTAACGAGAATGAAATAAATTGTATTAGTTTTGTGTTTAAAAACCCTGGGCTYTTTCTTCATTCTTGTCTGCACTCCAGAATGAAAAGCTTTCCCGCAACGAGACCAAACTGGATGGAGACAAAACCATACGGATTGTGAAGATGTTGCAGAATGCCACCAAATATACCAGCAGCCTGTATGGGAATGACGTGAGGACAGCTTACCAGATGATGATGAGGGTCCTGCAGTATGAAAGCCAGCAGCAAGGCTTTGACCTGGCTGCCACCAGGGACGTGGAATTCAATGAAGTAAGAGAGAAGCTGCCTGCTCTCCTGAGCCTGTGTTGAGCTTTGCAGCACTGCCTAGGTGCTTCTTTGGGAATTGCTCATTGGATGTGCGGGTCCACGCACACAGTGTGTATGTGCCCGTGTGTGTGTAGAATACACATAGCATGCAAAGCGTGGTTGTCATACACATCATCATACTGGCATCCAAAAGCAACATTTCCCCAAATGAAAAATAAAAATTGATGTGCTGTTCCTGGATGAAATAGCCTTAGCTACCATATTCCATTTTTGTTGGAAAACCTGCCTAATTTGATCACTTTCATTTAAATGTRTAGTGGACTAATTCTGGGATGGTTTATTCTGTGTAATTTCACATTGGAATTCCTGCAATCCTGCAATTCCTTTTTTTTTTTTTTTTTGTAAAAAATGTGAAAAATGAGTAAGTCCTTGCCTCTTTATCGTACTTGACCTATAATTTCCAGGTTAAATATTTCCCTACAGAAAACGTGCATGAAATCAATAACCCTTTAACTGTTTGGTTTTAAAACAAACAAAAAATTACTGGTTCAAATATTTTAACATTCCCTTTTTGAAACATTTTGAAACACTGAAATATTGAAGGATTTGAATCATACCTAGTGRAGAGCTGGGGCACCAAAAGCAATCCCCGTTGTGTTGATATTCTGAGAGGATCGTGAACATACAAAGAGCTAGAACTGCTCATGGCCGGGGGGTTTCTCCTAGTTGGAGTATTTGTGGAAGACCCAGCTACTACCAAAACCTACCACAGTTTATGCAGATTTGACCTCAGTTATGAATTTAATTTTGGCATARCAATATAGGGTATGTGTACACTAAGATTAAAAAGGTCTAGTGATGCTCATGATTCTCATTTAAGCCACTTGCTGTTCTTATTCAGGGTCTTTTCTTTCCATTCCAGCTAAGGATTCCTCTGAGTGTCCCCTTCCAACCTTGCAGCAAAGGGGCTTAGGTCCTCTTCTAGATTCTCTTTTTTAGCAGCATTTGTGAGCAACATAAAAATGGAAGGAGAAGAACATAATTTCTCATGCGAGTCCAAGTTGATATATACAAGTTAATATTTGCTTTTTTCCTTCTTTAGCATGTAAGCTTCCAGAATTAGTCAAGGATCAACAAAATAAAAATCAAAATAGAACAGAAAGTAATATTTCTGTTGATGGATTTCTTTTGATTTTAACTTAGCATATTGTTTTCATTTACCTAGGTGTGTTCTTAAGTGTACATAGCAAGCRCTCTGCTTTTCCTGTCTCTCCTCTTTCAGACAAAGCAAATATGAATAGGTTTTCCCTCTGCATTTTCCTCATGGGTTTCCTGTCTTAAGAGAACTGTCTACTTTTTTTCTTTTATAGTCTCCAATTTTGGCTTACTTTGCTTATAAAAGGGTTGAAAGGATTTCCTTAATGTAAAATAACCTCGGGGTGAGTAACTGGTGTGCATATTTTCATAAGGCTGCAGTAGAACATGCCTGGATTAAAATATTTCATTATATGCTCACCTGAGGCAGTAATGCCAATCACTTGCCGTGCTCCTCACTTGAAATCCAACGCTTTGCTTGATTGCCTAGGCTTTGTTTGCCTCCTAATTTAGGCCTGTGTTTTTTTCCTCAGAACATTATCAAAGTGGGTAGTGCTCTGCTGGATCCCAGCAACAAGGAGCAGTGGGAGCAAATTCAGCGGATGGAGGGGGGCAGCGCTCACCTGCTCCGGCACTACGAGCAGTATTTCAACAATGTGGCTCAGAACATGAGGAAAACCTACCTGAGACCTTTTGTCATCGTTGCCACTAACATGAGTGAGTATTTGTGTTGAAAATTGCCATGTTGTATCAGAAGAGCTTCAAAAATGAGTCCAAGAGGCACTAAGGTTTTTTTTTTTTTAATAATATCTGCTGAGAAACACAATACTTGTATTTTCCAGTCTCATCGATACATTTATTTCAAGTCAGTTGAGCACTGATCTGTATCTCTCAGTAACCTTGGAGCTGCGGAATCTTCTCTGTCCTCCCTGTGGGCCAAGCTCAGTTTAGGTTGCTGTACCCAGCAGGGAATGGGCACACTGCTCCATCTGATGTTTTAAGGCCAACATTTTTAAGTGACGGTATCGCCTTTTGAGCCGTGCACTTTGCCACATGTGCCCATGCTGCCCCTGGAAGGGAAGGGTGGCACCGGGGGCTGTGTCATTGTGAACCTACAAAATGCCTCCCAGAACACAGACCCAGTGTCTAAAATTATTAATTCTGCTGGAGATCCAAACTCACCTATTCAGTTGAGTGTCCTGGCACATAATAATCTCCTCCTCTGTGACAACTGGGCATTAACCTCTGCACATTCAGCAGGCTGTAAATGCCTGGTCTGCCTCCTTCCCCATTTTCTCCCACTCCTTATTTCATTTTCTCACCAACTTCCAGTGATTTGACCTGATGCTGTTAGTGCTCATCCTGCCCTGAGCCGCAGGTGGGATGGGGTGACCWGCCAAGGTCTCTCCCAACCAACATTTCTATGATTCTCAGAGCTATCTAAATAATGTTCCTAGCTAGACGAGTTAGTATATTAAGGGAATTTGCTRTTATATACAAACCTTATCCTCAGAGTGCTTCATGTCCACAGTTACATGCCCATTTAGCATGGGCAATCATATATATCCTATAAATAAATATATATAWAAATATATATTTATATCTTTCTTAGCTTCTAGACAAAAGCAAAAACATGAGGCATTCAAAGTGCAACATTTATGAGGTCCTGCATCTGCTCCAGAGGGGAACTATTATTGTTGTGAGCCAAACTGAAATAGTTCCATTATGTTTAGTAAACTAAAACACGATGTTGCCTTTTGATTTAGGGCTAGCAGAATCAAAATGTTTTCATMTTCACTTTGAGAAAAATCTAGCTGAACTCAATTAAGATGAAAACAAAGCCCTMTATTTCTTGCAGGTTGTAAATCCTGATTTGTCAGAGAGCTTTCCTTCAGTACAAAAGAGCTGGCTTGGGAGGGATGAGGCGATTCTGCCCTGAATGTGTTCTGTTTGCTTTAGAACAGTTTTTCCAGGTGAACAGGGTGTTCATGGAGTCTCCTAATGGCTCATCTGGGAGTTATTTAGAGACTGGAGAAGGAATGGGAATTTGCAGATCTTAACTTGGATATTTCTTCACATAGAAACTTGCTGTGCATCACAGCTTTCAGTGTAGTTACCCGCAGTACTTCCAGCTTCTCACTTACRTTATAACATACAACTGGGCACTCAGGTGACTTTTCTTAAATGGCAAAGTTAAGGCCAACTCAGCTGCTTTTACATATTTTGGCAGTTATGCAACAGGCAGAGCTGATGAGGGGAGCCAGAAAGTAGCTGTTAGTGCAGAGCAAGGAGGACTAGCATAGGACTAAGAAGTATTCCCAGGTAAAATCCAGGTTATTTTCTTTATTTAGGTGATTTTGCAATTTCACAGATGTATAAAGGCTGTGTTTCTAAAGTAGCAGATTTTGCATTCCATACAGGAAGCAAGTCTGGAACTGSAACAGTTCCTCTTTAGATTACTGGTGTTTGTAGTACTGTTTTCCTAGTAGGAAATACTGTCTTGTGAATTACTTCTGTTGCCTGTGCAATCTATGTATATTTGTAATTTTATAAATGGGACATAATGCTGAAACATAAGCTTTTATTTGTGATTTAAGGTATTGTCAAAAATCATATTATTACACTTGTATTTTTTGGTTCAAATCACTTCTTTGTGTCATGCAGCTATTTTAGCCTTTCAGTTACGTTTTATTTTGCTTTTATATCCTATTTGAAGGAATTCATTTTATGGGGAACCTTTTTTTTTTTCTCTCTAGTTATTGCTGTTGACATCTTCAACAAATCTAATTTTACGGGAGCTAAAGTTCCGCGATTTCACGAGATTAAAGAGGACTACCCCAAAGATCTGGAATCATCTGTTATCTTCCCCGATACCTTGTTCAAGCCCTCAGAGAGGAAAGGTAAAACCCTTCTGCTGACGGCAGGAGGGCWGCTCTGACTAAGAGCCTGATGGATCCTGTTGGAGCGGAGCGGAGCTGGGGCGAGAGCACATGGGAACGTTCTGCAGGGAGGCAGCAGCTGTGCAGACTCCGAAGGCATTTTGCCTGCCGGGCAGTGCCGGGAGCACRAGGGGCTGCGTAACTGGCTGTGCTTGTCTGTCAGGTCTCCTCACAGCCCCCAAACTGCTGCACCGATGASAGAAACGCTCCTCTCGGGTCCCCTTCCCACCTCCCTGAGTCCTCACGGGCTCCCTGTGTGTTCCCAACAGAAAACAACCTCAGAAGGGCTTATAGGAAGATAACACAAGGCTTGGCTTCACAGTCGGGGTTCTTCATGGCCTCAGTGCTAATAATGCTGGTATTGAGTTACCTGTTGTGTGACCTGTTTTTCTATCCACCTTAGAAGATACCAGCAATATGCAGCTCTAGCCCTTTAGGAACTCAGTGCAGCCTGTAGAAAGCAGAGGGAATCGGAGCAGCATCAGGTGCAGCAGAGCTCCTGTCTGAAGGCACAGCAGGAATGTGGGCAGATGTGAAGCTGGGGTGACAGCCAAGTGCATGGAGAGAAGCAGTGAAAGGCAGCAACGAGAGCCTGATGTGGGAGGTGGAGAATTCAGCCTTGGGAACTGAGCCACATTGTCAGAGAGAAGAAGCAAATAAAAAATCTGAGTCATGCAAGGAGATAGGTGGTGTGTTTGGGAGTGCATAGAAACTGTCTATCTGCTTTGCAGGGTCTCTGAAATAAACAAAAAAGCCAGGTGAAATAGTAGCTGTCAAGTGTATGGAAAGACTATGGTATTTCTGTTAATTTCTTAGGGTTACCTACAATGAAGCCTTCAAACCAGAGATTGTTCTCCAAGGTGACTGGTGAAGGGCTGAGTCCTGAGAGCGCATTTACAAAGCGAAGGAAGCGACACCCCGATGACTCCACCCAATATACGGTGGCCATGGTCATCATATACCGATCGCTAGGACACCTTTTACCTGAGAATTATGATCCAGACCGAAGGAGCTTGAGGTAAACCTTGGACCCGTTTGTAGATGGTGCAGAGCCCTTCTGCTCGCTCTGTGTGCACGGCAGAGGCAGGTGGGATTATCCTTCCTGATTAGATGTCACACATGATGCACTTGTCCCTGCAGGACTGACCCTTGTCCTCCTGCAACACGTGGTGGGAGAAAGACCTCTTCAGTAGTGCCAGTTGCTTCTAGAAGTCCAGCTGTGTGGAGCTCTGGCTGTGCATCTACTTCACTTTCTCACTGGAAGCATCTGGAAACCTTTTATTTGCAGCACTTACCAATTTCTTTTTTCAATGTTTAGATCATTTTGAAATTTTCTTCTTCTACAGATTGCCAAATCGCCCCATTATTAACACACCTGTGGTGAGCACAGCTGTTCACAGTGACGGGGAGCTGCCACCCAACCTGGTGGAAAAGCCCCTCATCGTGGAGTATGCCATGCTGGAGACGGAGGAGCGAACGAAGCCCGTCTGCGTCTTCTGGAATCACTCCATCCCGTACGTCCCCTGCCTGCTTTAGGGCTTTGGGTGGGATCTATCTGTAGCAGAGAGGTCAAGGCTAGGAAGCTAATTCAGGAGAACATGATCGCTACTGCTTTAGTTCATTCACCATGAATTCCTGTGGAATAGAGCCAGAYGGTCACTTCCCATCAGCAAGGAGCATAAAATCACCATAACTCCTCAAATGAAGGACTAGCCACGTGCTTTCTAGGAAATTCATGCAGTGCCATCTTCTCACATGACCTTTTCTCACCCAGTGATTATAAATCTCACATTCTTCTGATTTTTGCTCTTGCCCCTTTGCTCATAACATATACGGGCAGAGTCCAGCTCAAATGCTGGGGTTTATCACTCACCTGATGTCCGTAAGTCAGGAATCTCATTGCCCTTTGCTCTCTTTTTAGGAGGGTATCTCAGAAGGATAATTCAATCTTCTGTGGGCTGCATCTTCTGTTACACTCCAGTGACCATAGACAGAATATAAGGCAGGCAGGTAGCTAACCTAAATACCTCAGCCAGGGCCAGTGCAAAAATTTACAAAAGTTGTTCTTCATATTGGTAAAAAGGATTGAGACTTTTTAGATAAAGTGGTAAGACTGGATTTTTTTTATATCTCAAAGCTCATTTTGGAGTTAAAAGTCAACCCAAAGACAGTTGTGCTTGTAAGAAGCAACTTGTTTTTTTCTTTCCATCAGCTGCTGTATTTTTCAGCTGCATTTATTTTACTGAAAAAGTGGAGAGGAGGGAAACACCTTCTCTGGGATCTTTGAGATCTCACCGGTGCCACATTGTCAAATATCACTGTCAGATAGAAGTGCTTGACTCTCAAGGAGGGAGGTGTGAGAGATGTAGTCAAATATTCTGCAAATAGCTCATTAAGGTCTTTTGCATTTGGGAAAGAGAAAGGAAAAACCTATGAGAACKTTTAAGAACTGCATGTTGTTTTAAGTGTTGTGTTGAGTTTATGGCACTGTGAAAACGTAACAATCCCATTGCATATATTTCAAGAGTGCAGATACAAGAAAATTTATGGAGAGGTAACTACGTGCTCAGCAAATTATGATTTCACAATATTGTGACTATTACATATGCAAATTTTAACCATAAACCAGGTGCTGAGAGGATGATATTGTCAGCCCAGCGTGAAGGAAGAGTAGCTGTTACTGCTTTCCCTAGTGACCCAAAGCCTTTAGTAAGCCTATGGAAAAATCCATTAAAAGGGAATATCCTGTACTGGAAAAGAAGAAAAGCAAATGCTGGCCTCCTGGTCAGAAAGCCTTACTGAGTTAATATCATCAAAAATATCAACGAGGCAACAAAAATCTATCAGCTGTCTATTAGCAATAACAAACTACTCCGTTTGCCTGCTAGTAAGGCAATCAGAGATATAGCAGAGCAGCACAAAGGTTAGATAAGCAATTTCTTCACATCCTGTTTGCTTATATGTACAGATGACTCTACCAAATATGAGGGAATGGCAGATGCTTTATCATATTTTTTTAAGMATATTATGGGCTTGAATAACTCATTAGCTCTGAAGTGATTCATCRGTATTTGTTAGCAGCTGCTTTGGCATTGCTGTCCATGTTCCTTTAAGTGCAGTTAAAGAACATGTAACAAAAGAGTTTTTTAAAAGTGCGAATGTTACAAGAGATATTAAAGCAGCTGAGTGAACATTTTATTGCTCAATGAAAAAGATCACCTGTAATGTCTAATTAAAATCTTCAGTTACTACGAGAGGATTTTTATTACTCATTGACTTCAGAATAAAATAATTACTGTTGATAGAAAATCTTTTCTTAAACTGATGAAGTTAAACAAGGTTGCACAGTGAAGAATTTCTAAGGGAGCTGTTCCTCCACAATGTTGATACCAGAGATCTAGGTATAAAATACTATCTACTGTTTTAAACATTTTCTTGTCTACTTTTAATGGAATTCTGTGACAGAGATCATATTTCTGCTGAAACATATTTTGCATAAACATGTTAAAAGCAGTGTCAAAATTGGGGGAAACAGGGACGACTGAAAAATATTTCACATAGCAGACAGTTCTTTGCAATGGCCAGTTCCACAGTCTACACTGTGTAGTTGCTTTGTCTTCTTGCTTGCATGGTCAGGGGCAGGCACAAACACAAAGTTCGTTGTTTTAAAAACAATTTTTTTATAAATCTGTAAAATTTGGCAATCAAATCAGATGTCAGACCCTACTTCTAGCTCAAGACTTTTTAAGTTGAAGATCTTCTTTAAGGCATGTGACAGCTGTAAATATTTCTGTCTGCCCCGGTGCTAAGTGACCTTTCAGGTTTCAGAGCTGCCTCGGAGTGACAGCAGTGGGAGGCAGGGCAGCAATCTCAGACTGATGTTCAGAAACGACCTTTTTTGCCCCACAGGATTGGTGGGACAGGTGCCTGGTCCTCCAAAGGGTGTGAGCTGTTCTCCAGAAACCAGAGTCATATCACTTGCCAGTGCAACCATCTGACCAGCTCCGCCGTCCTAATGGACATCTCGAAACGAGAGGTGGGTGACCCCGGCTGGTGCCCTCTGGGGGGGTGAATTTGATTCACAGCACCCTCCATGGATCAGTCCTTTCGTGCAGTTTGTCACGAGCACTTTGCCACGTAGCTAATGGTTCCCCGTGTTGCATCTGCATCTGTCCAGAAGGAGTCTTCTGCCTGGTCAGTGCATGGTGTAGCCAGCAAGGTGTAACCTCCYAGGCTACACCACATGGGGCCGTGCAGAGAAGCGGGTGGGACAAGGATTACAGTATCATGATGCCATCAGCAACTAATAAAAATGTTTCACTTCATATGATAATATTTAGAATCACAATAGGTAGGAGCAAACACAAACCCCAGAGGCCTTTCAGGCTATCATCAATGTGGCAGAGTGGTCTGCAGTTACTTGGGATTCTTGCTTAGCTGTCTGTCCCTTTGGGGATTCCTTCACATGCTTGAAAGGCTGAGTGACTCAGGAGGTGCATTCCCACTGTCCCCACTCCCACTGGTCCTAAAGAGAGTCAAATCGTTGGCTCAACAGCAACAAAAACCTGACTTTGCAAGGAATAGCTTTGATGGGAGGGAAAGGAAGGAACAACTCAGAAGCCCTGTCAATGTGTCCTTCTGCAGAACGGGGAGGTGCTTCCGCTGAAGATTGTCACTTACACGACCGTGTCCGTCTCACTGGTGGCTTTGCTGATCACCTTCATCTTGCTGGTTCTCATCCGCACGCTGCGTTCCAACTTGCACAGTATCCACAAGAACCTGGTGGCTGCCCTTTTCTTTTCCGAGCTCGTCTTTCTCATTGGAATCAACCAGACTGAAAACCCGGTAAGACTTGATGCTTTTGGCTTACCACTTGCTGTGTGATTGCTGAAGTTGTTGTCAAGCTCTAAGTTGTGTTCGTGCTGCAGTTTTTACTGCATCCATCTGTTTTGCTTTCTCTCCTTTTTACCTCGGTTTGGCCTAAACAGTCATTTGAAAAGCATCAAACTTTTATTGTTCTTTTGTGTTTTATACGATGAATAGCAATGCCAGAAGAGGGGACTATCCAATTATATGTTGTTTTCAGAGATCCCATCACAGCAGCCATGCTAAGGTCTTCTCTCAGAAATTGAGCCCYGAATATTGATTCCTTCCTTTTGTTCTCTTTTTCCATCTGTATGTTGTTTTTTTCCTTACTTTGGCTGTTCAGTGGGGGCTCTCCAATTTCTCCTGCAGCAGGTACCTTACAAGCCCAAGCAACTCCTGGCATTGACCAGTAGGTTGTCAGCTGTGCTGTTAATATGCATGGCACCACATACCAAGACTATTTGGGAGAAGGCACTTGCCAGGCATAAGGTAGATTGCTACATGCAAGGACCAGGAGGAAACCTGTCGCTTTGCTTCATGCTTTCCAGCTGCAGTAACTTTTGGCTTCAGCCATCATATCTTTTATCTAAGCTTGAGGCAGGCACCTGCAGCATTTTGTATGTCAAGAAACACAAGCAATGAGTGCAACTCAACATGAAGTGCACAGCACACATAATATGTCTATGTTCTGTGCGCAGGACATCGTTGCTGTCTTAACTGTGTAGCATTATACATCATATTGCTGTTAATTCTTACTAGCACCCATCTCATAAAGCCCACTTGCCATGAAGACAGGTAGAAGAAAATCAGGCAAACCCTTGTTCCATCACTGCAGAGCTTCAGACAACTCTCAGAGTCTCCATTGCCTGTCAACACACAGATGGAGAAGGACATAAAATAAAAAATAAATAAATAAAATTTAATAAACGGGATATTTAATATCACACAAATAATGTTCTTAGAGCAACTAAGAACATTCAATGTTTGTGTGTCTGAAGACTCTTAAGAAAGTGTATCAAAAATCCTATATTATATATGTTTCAATTTAAATCTTGTGAGAGAAGCACAATCTTGAGATGAAAACACCAAAGAACAAACCACAYTGATTTGGCCTTGTCCAAGGGACAGAAATGGGAGAAAATTCCTACATTTAATAGATAAAGACACCATTGCAGTAAAGCCATTACGCCTAACCATCTATCCTAACCTACTGCTCAGTAACAGCAGCCTACAAGTTCCACTTTGGTTTCTAGCACCTGTCTGAGCTATAACATATATTTTAGAAAGTCATAAAACCTTCTTTTACTTGCTCTTCCTGTCCTTTCCAGTGACTCGTATCCTGTGTGACCTGCAGTCTTTGTTTCATAATATATGAGTTTGCATATTAAAATAACAGTAGCTCAAAGGAGCGCACCTTGCCAGTTGATCCCCAGCACTCTGCGTAACTTGACCTTTCCCATGCCTTCCTGAGCACACCACTCATTTTTCACTGCATTTCACTGGCAGGGAGTTGATACTTTTTCACATTTCTGACATGAAAACTGAGGGGCCAAGCCCAGATCCCTGCAGGATCTTGCTGAAAGCACCACAGTAAATGAATGTTCTTCATTTCCAAATTCATTTTGTGRTATCAGGACATGTCAAGCAAATAGATATAAAGTTAGTAAACCTGTTCATCAATACAATGAACCCTAGTGGTTGTCCTTCATGAGACTGYTCTCTTTCACTCTTTCCCATTTTCACGCTATTGGGTTCTTGAAGTTCAGTTACTGGGATTCCATGAAACACCCCAAACCTTTAACCCACCTATGAAACCCTTTAAGTTACAGAATATATTTCATACAACAGAGGACTGCTCTTTACAGCCCAAGCAGTCAGTCTGAGAAGTGTGGAGGGCTATAAGCTATGTCTCCTTGAGACAATTATTCATCTGTCTGTGTGGAATGAGAGTTGTCTAACGAGTCATGCACTGATGAACATAAAGAGGAAAAGAATGTTGGAGCACAAATAATGCTGGGCTGCTTGGCACCAAGCCTCGCTTTTATGGGTTTCTGTAAATTACCAGTCACATTTCTGGGCGAGGTTTTAATCTTTCCATGTGCTATTGATAGAAAATGATTTATTTTCTTTTTTTTCTCTTACCTGAAAAAGGTAATTTTCAGGGCAGCAATCTACACATACACATGTGCTGATAGGAACAGAAAGAACCCTGCATGCATAGAAAAAGGAAAGGTCTTTTATTTGGTGAGCTACATTTTCAATAATGTTTGGTGTTGTAATAAAGTTGGTGCAGTAAGTGAATCCAGAAAGCTGGTGGTCTTTATATGATTCTTTCACTGTGTAAAATTAAACAGGGAAATATGGCTTATGGCCCTGAGCCTTACAGCATGGAAAAGCACTAAAAATTCATGCCAAAAACTGAAAGCTTGGACAGAGCTACACAGGAACAAAGGATCAGAAACACAATGTAAAACATTTTGAAATAGAAACTGAATGCTTACACAAAATGATTTTAATTCAAACTTATCAGCAAATTCTGGGTAGAATCCTTTGCTTTTCTTCTGAGGGAAGAAGGTTAATTTTTAGGTCTTCCTGCAGGTGTTGAATGGTGATGGTCACTCCTGTTTTCATCCATCAGACAGTTATGTCAGGAGCAATTGTGGTTAGCAAATATTACAGAAATGCTGCTCTGTGAAGGTCACAGGGTCCATTTGGTCACAGGGATGCCTGGAGGTACCATTTTTCACTCTAGTCTGAGTCACACTAGTGACAAAGTCCCTTTGGTTTCAGTGGGTCTTTCATTTTCACTGGTCTCAGAGTGGCCGATGATGGTCCTAGTCTCACGCTGCTGCTGCTGTTAGATAAAAACTAAAGCCAGGCCTGGAATTTAAAGGCACATCTCTCCTTGTTCCTAGCTGAAGGTGTGAACCAATAGACCAACATCAGGCTGCTCGTGCCTTTACTTGTCTCCTCATGCCTTGTCTTTGCATGACTGCAGGGTAGATCAGCCTCAAGGTCCAATTCTTCTGGACCCAGCATATCCTACAGCCCAGCAGTTTGGCGTTTTGCTCCACCGGAGGAGAAGGGAAGTTAATCCTCCCTGCTCAGGCTGGATCTAGACCTAGACCCCACTTGCCCACTTCCCTAGTCAAATTATTCTCATCTTGATATCAGGGGAAATACTGGTTCCACTTTTTGTATGTATCTGGGGAGTAGGCAGCAATCTACTTGAGGCTGTGTCATTTTAGTCCAGTGATATTGGCCAGGTGTCCTCAGCAACTCATTGAGATGTAGCTATCCAAGGGTCTAGAGGGATAGATCTACTATCTAACATTACATATTAATTAGATATTGGATATTAGATAGGTCTAATCAAGGAAGAACAGAGACACAAGGACAAAGGAGGCACTCACCAGCTTTCCCTGCAGAATCATCCCTGCTTTTATTCCTTGAATCTTCTTAAAGAATCCCAGAGAAAGAGCTGCAGGTGGAGCAGACCATTCCCTCATTAGCCCTTTCTAAATGAAGAAAACCTTGCTTATGAAGAAGACCTTCCTTTTTTTCTTTTTCCCCCCCCCATTTTTGAACAAAATTGTAGCATGGCCAAACTGTCTTACCCGTAGCCTGTTTCTAATCCTCCTACTGTGGTGTCACTGTCTCCTTTTCATACCGTTTCTGTCAACACTCACTCATGAGCTGCTGCCTCGCTGTGCAAGCCCTGCCTGCTCACCGGGAGCTGAACTCAGCAGCGTCGCCCCAAATTGTCGCTGAAGTCCGGCTTGAACATCAAACATCAAACATAGGCACAACATGGCCCACTGATCCTGTGCTAGATCATAATTTCACATGAAATTTTCTGTTTGTTAAACGTAACTTTCATTTAAGTGACAAGGAAATACCTCAAAGGAAGGGTGGATTTCTTACAGTCTAGATTTCATATATTGCTCGTGTACAACAAGTTGCTCCTGGTCTGAAGCTGCATGTCCCCAGGGGGAAGTTTGTCAAGATGGGCAGCAGGACTTTCTCAGGGTATAGTCCTAAACTGAAGGCCGAAGACCCATCTCTGACCTAACCTGCCCCTCAAAACAGGAGTTTCCTTGAACTAATATTGAGCCCTAGGCAGTGACCACATAGAACAAAACTGTACTAAAATGCGGCCTTCCTTGAGCAGGCAGCTCTCTCAATGGAGAGCATGAAGCAGCAGAAAACCTCCCAGGACATTTGTTACTTCGATAACGGGAGACACTGAGTCACTGCAGGGTTGAAGGCCCAGTCTCAGGATGGTCTCTGAAACTGGTTTGCCTGAGGCTGTCCTCACAGGGCTGTTAAATTCCCCATCACGGAGTGAGTTCGCAGGTGAGGCCCACACGTGAAACAGAGAAGAGGCTCTGCAGCCTCCACAGGAGCATCTTGCCTTTCTGTTCTGCTTCACTCCAGGAGCCAGAGCCGCAGCTTTAAGCACTGCCCCGTGGGGACACCGTCTCGGCCCACCCACTGGCCTCCTGCAGGAGGAGGAGGACATGAGGGCTGGACTCACTATCACCAGCAAAGGCACGTGGAGGAATTAACCAGAGCTTGCAGCGCAGGGGCTCGACGCGCCTTGAGCTCACTGCGTCAAACCCAACCATCCTCAGCACAGGCCTGATGATAGAACATTGGTTTTCACATCGTGAACAACTTCTCTGAACCTCCCAAAGCTATTGGAAATGCAAATTAATGGCAMTGTATTCTCTCTGCCAGATCTTTTCATTATAACTTTCCTTCAGCTGCACTGGGGAGACGGTGAGTCAGCAAGGTGCGTGGCTCAGCGCAGCAGCTCTAATTTCCGTGCCCTTTCCCTTCCGCAGTTTGTGTGCACGGTGATTGCCATCCTTCTGCATTACTGCTACATGAGCACCTTCGCGTGGATGTTTGTGGAGCAGCTCCACATCTACCGCATGCTGACCGAAGTGAGGAACATCAACTTTGGCCACATGCGCTTCTACTACGTCGTCGGATGGGGCATTCCCGCCATTATAACAGGTACCAAAAGGCAATGGAGACCCTTCAACAAGCCCCAGACAGCATTTTTTTCACTTTCCCTGCCATCTTCCCTGGCCAAATTCAGGAAAGTTACCCCGTCCAAGATAGCTGAGCCTGTGTTCAAAAGCTGCTGGCACTGCAGTGCTCTCCTGCAAGAGAGCAGCACCAAGTAATGAATACCACAAGTCAGCCTGAATTTGGCAAATCTGTGCACCAAATATCCACCGTCCCAGTTCAAGTGATACTGAGGGYTTTACAATAACATAAACCTAATTGAATGCAGATTAAAACAGGACTTGTTAATGTTGCTTGGAAATAACATTTTTAGRGTAATGGCTTTGCTTGCAGCCCTCAGACATTTTCCTGCACTGCAGGGTACTGCAGGGTGCAGACGTGCCTCTTGTGGGGAGCCGGCTACAGCGGCCTCAGGAGTGATGATACCCACCGGTCATTCCTGAACATTCCCACTGCTCTCCCTCCCCTAGCAGCAACTGCTCCCTGAAAGGGATTTGGGCAGTTTTGCTTGCCTTGGCACGAAAGCAAACTGGGAATATCCAAGCAGCCTTTTATTTCCTGACAGATGCAAAGGTAGTATCTTCGAGTCTAGGAAGAACAAGGAAAAGCTGGGAGCAGTTTCCAGCTCCTGCAGTGGGATACACACCTATGTCCACCCTCACCCTGCCTGTTTTTCATGTGGACATTTGAGGGGCTATCTGAAGCCTATGGAGCTGCATCCACTCAGGCAGGCRGCTCCTTGGGAAGGGCCCTTCACGGCACAGTTGGAGCGGGACGTTTCGGTTCAGTTATTTCAGGATATATCTCGCTATGTGGGAAGTCAGATCATAGGCAGGCAGTTAACTTTTACACAGTTATTTTTGTTTTTACAGATAACAAAATACTGTCATCAATGACAGAGCTTTAGGTCTCTCAGCTCAAATAGGTGTCACTCATGTATGCTTGGAAAAATACTGCAGAACAAGTTAGCCTTTTGCAAATACATGTTGGCTTTTTTTTTTTTTTAACCATGTGACTTAAAAAGTATAATACACAAGTGTAGCACAAGGTAATAGGATAGTACAGGTAACTTTTCTGGAGAGAAGGTAATTTTTTTCTCATTTGATCTTGTGAATAAATAATTTCAATTTCTTTTAATTTGTTCAGCATACAGGGACTGATAAGGCCTAGAACGTTCTATTGCTCTGGACATATTCCTGATATTTTAAATAGAAATTGTCTTTGAACTACTGGAATGTTTCAAAAGTGTATAGCTTTTATCAGTACACAGAAGCCTTTTATAATACATTCAAGAACATTTACGTACCGTCAGAGAGTTGATATCTGTTAGAAAYGAAGAATAATCATTAAATAGCAATWAAAAAAAWTTATTTCAGAACACTTAACCCTTCAGAGGAATTTAGTCAAGAGTTTCTGTTCCATGTTTAAAGTATTACAAAACATAATATATTATGCATGTATTATGAATTATGGTTCCAGGCTGTTCACTGTCATTTAAGCTATGATTCTACTAAATTAACTAAAATTTTTATTTACAGTAAAAAAATCAGGTTCCTATTATTGAGAAAGTCTGAGGATTTTGCTGAATAAAGTGAAATAAACCATTAGTTTGCCCTTCAATTTTAGAAATCTAAATCTCATCTGAAGAGAAGATTATTTAGTCATAAGTAAAATAGAGTATGGGATTTCTTGTCTCTGGATCACTTTGCTACTGTATGTATTTTAAGTAAGCTTCTTTGATATATTTTAAACTTCAGTTCAGAAAGAGTAAGAAGGCTCCAACCTCATAATATGCATCTTAAATATACCTTCTTTTAATTTCCTTCGACAGATATATCATGTATGTTTCTCAATAGTAGAAATGTCTAGGTACAGGAAAAGATTTTAGGACATTTTTCTAATTTGAAGGAGAAATATCCAGCCCAGGTCATCTCTACTATAGCTGTCCTGAAGAAGTGAAGCTTCAGCAGCAGTGGATTTACCTAGTCGCGTTTCCTTTTATTTTGTTATTTTCCATACTCAATTCATATCAACCTGGGACATAGTGATCTTAAGGGGGATAAGACCAGACTACTTGCTAAAGGAAACCTGGAGCTTTAGGGAGTAAAAAAAGCTTTAAGAAAATGTTTATATRGGGAAATTCCAACAAGGAAGAAGAGTATTTACACACACAATACAAGAGCAAGTTGTCATGATGAAGTGTAGGCTGGAAGAGGAGAGAAGGTTTTTGCCCATCCAAAGAGTGAGGTTCTGGAATACTCCCCATGTGGAGCAGTTGTGGGCAATTTCAAATTCACTTTCTGCTGGCACATTTTAAGACGGAGTCTCATCCATGCAGGAAGGGGATTTTATGGCTTCGTCGCCTCAGGAGCATCAGGCTGGATTTGGCACCCAGCAGGACCCATCCTGTTGGGAGCGTCTTTGTGCAAACCTGCACCCGGCTGCTCTGTGTACTCAGGGCTGGCTTTGCCTTGGAGACAGCAGAGCTCCTGTTCAAACAGGTTCTCACTCAGCCCACTCTTGCTGCTAAAATCAATAGCCTCTGGACAACAGCGTTTCTGAATCTGCACATTTGCTGCACACAATAAGCAAGGTGATGAGTCAGAGGAGCTGCAAAGTCGGGATGCTCCTCAGGTGGATCCCGGTCCCTGCAGACCACTCTGCTTGGCCATCACATCTACCTGTTCYGGAACTATCGGTGCACTGAGAATGGCAGCACTCAGCTCACGGCACCTGGGGTGACAGGGGTGCAGCAGTTAACTGATGTGCCGGAAAGATTTTTATATTAAATCACACTGGCTCAACTCTGCTTTTGAGCGAAGTGTCATTTCACATATTGTTGAATGCAGTAAAATCTGAGCCACATACCTGTAGACTGCAATTTGCTYCATTTGTTTAATGGAGAATTTTAGGGTAGGATTTTGAGAGTGAAAAAATGTTGCTGCCTGCCAATTAAACTTAGAGCCAGATGTTTGGTCAAATTGTAGTTTTAAGTCCCGCTAATAGGGAAATGAAGTCCTGGGAAACAGGCTGTGTCTATAGAATTACATCTGTATAAAATATTTTATGGTCCCTTAATCATTTATAGCTAATTCTTTCTGGATGGTAACCGCTAAAGGCGTTGATGAAAAGGCCAATAGAAGCACAGGGGGAGCGAGCAACCCTGTCTCACTCCACGCTTTGGAGAAAACAGATCCAATATCCACTGCTTTGCCAAAGAGCCAGTTTAGTTTTCATAGAGTGTAGGCCTGCACCAGATGTGAATACTGGCTGGGGGCCAAACGTTATACACACAGAGCGAAATGTCGCTGCCTCTCCTTTTTTTAGTGTCTTTTCATCAAACTATGCAGGTGTTGATTAATACACATAAATTCTCATGGAGGAGACCGGCACTGCCGTGAACCTTGGATGCCTGCCTGAGTCAGGACATGCACTTGCTGCTATAGGTGCCTCCTGGCACCTAAAGAACGTGCTGCAGCCATTTAMCATATGTCACTGGCCATAGGCCTCRCAGGATCCAATTCAGAGGCTTCAAGAAGGAAGAGCTCTGCAGTGTTTTGCAGATGCAAGGCAGCAATCCCAGACCATTTCCATATGGACAAAGTTTCGATCACAAAGCCAGTATTCCAGGTGGGAGGTTCAGAGACTCCCATGGAAATGTCCAAGCTTCAAAAATTGAGGCAATAAAAGGTATATTCTTAACTGGGTTTCCTTGGTGGCATGAACACACCTCATTTAAAAAGGTGGTGAAGCAAGGAGAGGCGGGCACTTCAGCTGTATCTCGGGCTTTCAGCTGTACCTGAACTCAAGCAGTTAACTTCTTACAGTAGCTCCCAGGTTCCTTTGTCTCTGCTGTTATTTTAATGACACTAAGCTCACGGCACTTAAGAATGAACCTTTTTTTTTTCTCTCCTCTAGTCAGCTCTTCAGCTATGATTCATGTCATTCTGCTGTACAAGCTTATTGAAATTCCTCAACACGTCACTCACCCTAAAGGCTTGATCACTCTCTGCGAATCTGACTGTAAAATTGTGTACAGCTGACTTGGGATTTGTTGTAGCTTTTTTTTGTAGACAAATGTTGCAGGCAAAATTTGTAGTAGGCAAAATTTGTAGTGTTACTTAATATGGAATGACGTAAGTAAAGTAAAATTTACCAAAATTTAATTTCAGTGTTTGCCTAGATTTTTATTTTCTAGATTGTCCTATTTATGACATTTTACCTTTGTCATTTTTGTTTGTCTAACAGTGATTTCAGAACATTACTGTGTCTGATTGTTTAGAAGGTCTCACCAGCATCTTTCTAATGTCCTTTTTCTGCATTTTGTGATTCAGGACTTGCTGTTGGTCTGGACCCACAGGGCTATGGGAACCCTGATTTCTGCTGGTTGTCTGTTCATGACACTCTCATCTGGAGTTTTGCTGGACCCATCATAATTGTTGTTGTTGTAAGTATGGTGGAGTTGGCATCTGCCTCTGTCTTGCTACAACTTTTCCTTTTTGTTTTGTCAACCAGTAGACATAATCTGAAGCAGCAGTATTCTTTACATCAACAAAGCAAGACTTGACAAGTCACTAGGACCACACTTCATTCACCTGGAAGTTCAGAGGGAATATTAAGTAATTCTAATTTCAGGAATTCTAAAGAATTGGCTGATATTTAACTTCTCACTTAAAACTTTTCTTGATGGCAGAAGACCAGAAGATATATCTATGGAGTGACCATATCTTGAATACCAATTGCAGTTGTGGTTCCCTYATCTCAAAAAGCGTGAAGCAGACCTGGCAAAGGTGCAGAGAGGTGTCTCTGGTAACAAATGTTACCAGAAACACAGAATAGCCCCCCTTGATGGCCAAACTGTTCAGTGTGTTTTCCARTGCACAGAGTGGTAGGAGATGGCAAGTTCCCTAAAGCAGGACATTGAGGCAGGTAAAACCCTAACTCCACATGGTTGCCAAAAGTGGCTGGACCAGCTCATGGCATAAGGATTCAACAGAGTTAGAGGTGACTAAACGCAAAAACACCTCATATATCCCAGCTCTGGAAATGAGTGGAGGCTGGAGGAGCATCCTGAGGAATTATTGCTATGTGTTTCCTCTGTTTTTATATTATGTTCCTCTTTGGCCCTAGCTGAAACAAAATGCTAGGCTAAGTGGAGTCTGCTCTGGTTGAGGATAATCATTCCTGATTTCCTCAATCTGTCACAGGGCAGTCTCACTGGTTTCAGCAGGATGGAGTCCAGGGTGTTCTTGACTAATATTGCCTTGAAACGAGATGAATTTTAGAACTTGAAGAGACATGCAAATTGAAGGGAAAATATTTTTGGCACTGCAACCCTTTTTAGGATAACAATTCCATTGTAAATGAAAACCGAGCTCTTAACAAATTTGCGGGAAAAAAATCCATGCTGTTATTTCAATTTCTCTTTCAGATAAACACTGTCATCTTTATACTGGCAATGAAAGCATCGTGCAGGCAAAGGCAACGCTCGTTTGAGAAAAACGGAGTCATGTAAGTTTGGAGCCAGGATTCAAAACCCTGTAGAAGTTCTGGCCAGGAATGGTGAAAGGGACAGGCTGCTTTAAGGCAACCATTAGGGTGGGGAACAAATAAACWATTTGGAGAAGGAGACAGTTTATAGTGGTTAAAGAAGTGGGAGGCATTTTACCATCATTTATTTCTGGTGTCCTCTCTAAAGCTCTGCTAAGTGTCCAGCATGGTGCTTGCTACTGCAGATAAGACAGGAGAGGGAAGAAGTTCGAATACTCATCCTTCTCTATGATATCTTTGCTCTTCCAGAGCTTTTAATGTGTTCCCTGTTACTAAATTGGTTCATGTCAGCCCACAGCAATTTCTAGGTAGATGTAATTATGGTAGAGACTCTCCTCTTGGTAGCCTTTGGCTCAGAAAAGTGTCCCCTTAAGAAAGCAGAAATTACAGGATTTGTTCTGGCAGTGGCTTTCTGTGCTTGGACCAGCCTCTGGCCCCACTCTGCTCCACATGGGATGAGCAGAAAGCCCCACAAGCTGCAACTCGTAGCATTTCCTACCTATTATGGCCGMCTGTTCCCATTAGCCTGTATTTTGCCCAAAGCTTATAATTTACCTGTGAACTAAAATGTGATTAGCTAGTGGCAAGACAACTCTTAAAAAAATAGGTAGCTAAATGAGATTTCAAAAGTTTTCCTCTACGTGAGATTTCAGAAGTTTTCTTCTAGCTATTTATTCAACACTGGCTGTCAAGTTATGTTTGAGTTTCTTTTCTAAACCTCCATGAACAAAAGGAGTGTATTTGTGACCAATGTCACAAATTTGACAAATTTGTATTTGGCACCAATTTTTGTAAAATCTGCATTTTGTAGAAATAACCTTTTGCCCCTGTGACTATCTTTTTAAAGCACTGGTGGAAATAACATTTTGAAGCAAACAGGCATTCCCCTGAGTGCTCTCCATGCAAGCCCCTGGCTGCAACGTTGTGAAAGAATGTGAAAGGGAGCTTGGCAAACAGCAGCGAGAGCGACCTGACCGCTCACTGCCCACATCTCCTCCTCAGAGTCAACAAGGCTGAACAGAAGAGCTTGGCTCATTTGTTTGAAAAGGAAAAAAAAATACCCTTAGACACGAACTTGAAAAGAAATTATATTTTTTTTTAAATCTGCTTTTAGATATTGAGTGGTGKTGTGGGCGAGATGGGAACTGGCATTCCAGCTGTGTTAATTTTCCCTTGCCAGTGCCTGGATGTTAAGCTCTCTCCCAGCCAAATACTTGCCTTTATTTTGCCTGTATCCCTAAGGGTCTTTGCAGTTAGGTGCTCTCGTGTCCTGGCCTGTGAGCTGCACACTCCATGTACATTCAAGAAGGAAAGGGAACTCCTAACATTCCTTGGTGCCTCCGGGGCTGGGAAGTTTTATTTCTTCTGTTCTTCTATTTCTCCTTCTTTCTTTCTTTCTCCTTCRTGCAAATGACTGTACGAATCTGCCTCACAGGTCTGTGCTGCGGACGGCCTTCATCCTCTTGCTGCTCATCAGCGCCACGTGGCTGCTGGGGCTGCTGGCCGTGAACAGCGACGTCATGACGTTTCACTATCTCTTTGCCATTTTCAGCTGCCTGCAGGTAGGTGAGAGGGCTGCAGATCTGCAGTGCCCAGTTGGCCAGGCTGCCTGCTCCTCAGCAAAGGCTGCTCAATGCTGAGCCCAAACCTCTTGCCTTGTTAAGGCGAGCTTAACAAGAGCAGAGATGTTCAGTGCAATTTTCACTSGCTTTTCTCAAAGTGGAGGTTTATTTCACCAAAACAAAAGAGTTTTCATCATAACTTTGAGTGAATGTATCTCTSTGTTTTAGTCACTCTAGATTAGATGCTTGAACACTGTGACAGATTAATAACAGTCAGCAATTACACCTCTGCCTTTCTGGAGGCAGAGACTTTATTGCTATCTTCTGCATGCTCATGTTAACACTGGTTCTATTGCTTCTCCTTCTCTGGAGAGCTTCCAAACCCGTTTGGATGCAGCCCTGTGCCACATGCTCTAAGTGACCCTGTGTGTGCAGGGGGTTTGAACTAGATGATCTCTAAAAGTCCYTTCCAACCTTGACGATTCTATGATTCTACCACAAAGTAGGAGACTGAGTTTCATTTCATCTAGACTGGAGAGTTCAAGGCTTTCACAAACTAATTTATGATTTAAGGAAATGAGTCAAATATGTTTTGCAAATAGATTTGTTTGCCCTGGGGAGACATGACAAGGAAGCCTTGAAGCTTGGTGTTGGTCACTACTTAAATGTGAGCAAGAAGTGCAGTAACCATCGTGGCAGCTGCCTGAAATATTAATACAAGAGCTTCCTCAGGACAGTTTTGCCAGTCTGATCAGAACAGGCACAAATGGCAGTAAAAGAGAAAAAGAAATCTGCTTGCTCTCCTCCAGAGATGGTTCCACAACATGTCTTGGGAGAATATCAAATAGACCACCTGGAGCAAGGTTATTTTGTCAYTGCCGCTGGCCTCCTATGAAATAAATGCATCCCCACAGACTGTATTGCCAGGCTTTTAGAATAAAGTTAAATTAAGTGTGATGAGAGGGAGGAAAACCAGCAGCTGGAAGTCTCTATACTTACCAGGAGAGGCATGGTGATGTTTCACRTCATTGCCTTCTTGGAACTTGTATTTTTAAAGAGACATTTATTTGAAATTTATTAATGAATAATCCCAGAGCTAATGCCAGCTAAAATTCCATTTGAGTGAATGTTTAGAAAGTGAACTTGAAGTTTAAAGTTACTTGAAGTCAATTGCTGAAGCCATGAAATGCAGGCAYCTGGTGATGTTGGTACAGCTGCAACTTCCTGAGCGATTGGCTTCAATATGATGTATCTGCAACCAAAATTGGGAACAGYTGGGGAGCTGCATGAATTCCCTCAGAGCAAATACATCTGAATGCATGCACGTGCATCCCACACACGTGGCCCCAAGAAAACCRTGAACGTTTGTCTCTGACATACCAGTAACTGTCCATCTGGGTGGATTTCGATATTCCCATTGGGAGATATTGCTGGACCAAGGACCATATGGGGCAAAAGGTGGGATATCTCTGCTCTTTGCACTCCTGCAGGCTGGGGGCTCACGTAATGGAGAGCAGCTCTGTAAAGAAGGACCATGAAGTCCTGGTGGACAGGTTGATCACGAGCCTGCAATGAGCTCTTGTGGCCAACATGGCCAATGCTGAGAGGAGGAGTGTGGGGTCTAATGCTGGGCTTCCCAATACAAAAGAGATGTGGGACTATCAGAGTGAGTCCAGCAAAGGGCTGCCAAGAGGGTGAAAGGACTGAATTCTCTCTCATATGAGGAAGGGCTGAGAGAATTGAGACTCTTCAGTGTGAAGAGAAGACTGAGGGGTGATCTTATTGATGTGTATAAGTACACATCAGGCAATGGGCAGAGACAGAAWCCCAGGAAATTCTGTCTGACCCTGAGGGAAAAACTTCTTTACTGTGAGGGTGACTGAGCACTGGCACGGGTTACCCGGAGAGGCTGTGAAGTTTCCTTYCTTCCAGGTTCCTTCAAAACCTGTCTAGATACAGTCCTGCATGGGCAATGTGCTCTACGTGACACTGCTCGAGCAGAGAGTTGGACCAGGTGATCCTCAGAGGTCCCTGCCAACCTCAACCATTTTGTGATTCCGTAAAAATCTCCCCATTGATCGTGYCTCACAAGGCTCTGCAAAATTCCTTCAGCAATAATATTAAGCATACCTATCACAGAATTTCCCCATTTCTGGGGCTTTTATCTAAAGGCTGTGTATTTTTGATGTACTCCTCTWGATTTTGTTTAATCATCAGTGTGTAAACTCTAAAATCTTAGTACAATTACAAACCTGAAGCTTCCTAAAATATTTCCAGTGGGGCRTCCAGTGGAAATCCCCTTTGCATATTTTGGAAAAAAACTTCCTTCCCCAACTGCTCTGAAAACCAACATCTACTCTGAGCCTTGCTATCTAAATACTGGAAGAAAACAGCTTTGTATACATTTTTCAAGGCCTTTATGTGCGTTTAAAACTTGAAAATAGATTATGAAGAAATCCTAGGAAATTAAGAATTACCAGTTGAGTCAAAGACAGAAAACAATTATTGCTGTTGTGGTCACAATCATTATTGACATCGTGGMCTATGGACTGGAAATTCAGAGGTTGCTTCAGAAAGGCTGCTCTCTGAGGTCTGTTTGTACTTCCAGTTCGGTAGCAGTGAATCACTGTGATTTATTCTTCCTCTCTCTAAAATGTTCCAGGGGCTGTTCATTTTCTTCTTCCACTGCGTATTCAACAAAGAAGTCAGGAAGCACTTGAAGAATACTTTAACTGGAAAGAAACCTCTTCCAGATGATTCTTCTGCAACAAGAGCTACGTTATTAACGGTAAGAAAAAAAATGAAAAAAAAAATCTTATTTTTCGTTAAAAGAAAATTTATCTTAATTATACTGGTAGGTGGCTTGTCTATAATAAAATGAATTTTCTGATYGATTGCAGTGTCATGCTCAAAGATTACTAGTGGTGTCTCTCAAAGGTTTTTATTACTCTTAATTAAAGCTTCTGGGAAGAAATTGTTTTTCCCTCAGCATCAAAAACCACTTGATTCATTCAAGACTTCCAATAAATTCATAAGTAATGCAGACTTTTAATGGGAGCTCATTATTTTTTTTTCTTGCAGATTTCAAAGAAAACTGCACAAAAGTGTATGTGTGGGGTTCTAAAGTACTTGGCTGCTTGCAATTTTCTGATTAGTTTGTAGTCATGTTCACTTATTTAATGGACAGTTTGAAACTTATAAATAGAATAGCTGGTTACTCCTCCACAAATATTGTAATYTATGTGACTGCATTTGCACTGGTAAACTAAAGAGGAACAAATCTTAGACTTGAGCCCTGGCCCACAGTCATGCGTAGTATTTAACTATTATTATACTCCCTGACTGATATTTTTTAAGCTGTTCTATCTAGCTGTTTCCCAGTCCATGTATTGGCATGACTAGGGGAAGGGAAGAACCAGCACAGCCCRAGGGCTGCTCACAAATAGGATAAAGCTGCCCTGTTTTGGGAGAAAAGGGAATTCAGCCATATGGACACGAGCTTTGCCATCCATTCCTTTTACTCTCAGGGCAGAGACTGGGGCCTTGCCCATCACCAAATGACCTAAAGCTGGTTTTTAATATAGAAAAGGATGTGTATATATATATTTATATATAGTATTGTGGATGTGTATATGTGTATATATATATATAATCACTCAAGTATATAAGCCCACAAACAAAAACATCCCTAAGTGTCATTCTCATATATATAGGATTTAGGAATGATATAAAGGTTTGTTTTTAGTTATTATGTAGCAAGTTCCCTATCCTTCAGCCTGCCAAAGGTGGTTGTTCATCTCACTTTTCCCTGCAGTGCTGGTGGGTAGATTTTGTCCGAGGGGATATTTGCCCTTGTCCAAATCATACAACTCTGCCAAATGGAGAGGGCTTTTTCCGGGCTGATCTGAAATCCAACTGCATGTCGAGCTGCACTGAAAAAGTGCTTCTCACCACTCACTGTTGCTCTTTTTCTCCCTCAGCGCTCTCTGAACTGTAACAACACGTACATAGAGGAGCCAAATATGTATCGCACAACTATCGGGGAATCCACTGTCTCCCTAGAGAGCACCGTCAGGTCAGCCAAGAGCCACAATAGCTACCTTGCTTATATTCTCAGGTAATCAGGTGGCAGGGGCATGGCTTTCAGGTGCTTGCCTTCCTCTTTCCGTTGCTCTCGTGAAAAGAAAACATCAAAACAGATGTTTGGGCTCAAGTGCTGCTTGTTTCCTGCCTTAGCAGTTCTGTTTCGTGTGACTGCCGTGGTGTGTAGAGCATCTTTGGTGCATGCATCTGTGACAGCTTTGCCTCCCTGCATCCCTGCGCTGTGCAAACGGGGCAGGAGCTGTTCATGTGCCAGTCACACCAGCTCCTTGGGCCACGCCGCTTGCCGTGCTGCTTCAGCTGTGTCTCAAGGGCTGGAATTTAGCTCATTAACTCCGGCTGTTTAGGAATGTGATTCATGTGATCAAAGGCAGGCAGCCACATGAGGATAAGCTGTGTCTTGCTGTAAAAATGACTGCAGTGACAACAGAGGACACCCCAGCTGGCTACCCAAACTCTGACTGTACACACTTGACCAGATGAATCACATCTGTCTGTCTGCCTCGGTAAGAGCAGTACATTGATCAGAAAGGTCTTCTTTTATTCCCTAAGGGATGAGGCTGCTCATAAGCTCAGTGGATCCTCAAGTCAAGCAAGGGCTGGTCAGACTGAAGCAGACTCCTCAATTTTCCATAGGAATCCCTCAAAATCCAAYGGTAAGATATATTTTTTTAATTGTTTGACCCACTTGGGCACCTTTTCCTCCTTGGTACCTTTTTCAAGGGCTTCTGCAATAGTAGGAAGAGCGAATCTATCTCACTGGGCCTCATTCTCAATTAAAACAGTGCTTTTGGCGTCACGAGATCCACAGTGATTGTCTTACTAGGGAATTCTGGAGTGAAAATACCATGTATCTGCTTCTTGTGGTGGTTCAGTTTTAATTTGACAGCTGTCACAGCTGTTGACAGTTTCTGGCATCCAGGTTCTTTCTCTCAAATTATGCTGTTACTCTTGATTTTTTAATTGGAGATCTTTTAATGCTTGAGACCTCGAGGCAATATCTTCTTTACTGATAAGCATTTCGTACCGGAAAATGAGACGTGTCATTCGGCTGATTTCCTTTCACTTGGGTCCTGATGTTAAACTTTGTTGCCTTGTAGCAGTTTTTAAGAGTGCACTTCCAGATTTTCTCTAGGTAGCTGGTTTGCCTGTGTKTGGTGTTGACTGAGGTCCTGTGGAGCTGCTCTTCTGCGTATTGAGGAGCRAGCAGTAACGTCCCCATCACTTAGGTGGACGCCACAGTGCAGTGGGTTGATGCAGTGTCACTTGGGCGCTCACACCCGGCGCGTCCCCAGCCCAGAGCAGCCTCTTCCTCTCGGGGTGCTCTGGTCAGGGGGGCTGGAGTGACTCTTTGCCCCCTGCTCTCTCCCCAYGCCCGCAGAGCACGACTCGGACTCGGACAGCGAGCTGTCGCTCGAYGAGCACAGCAGCTCCTACGCCTCCTCCCACTCTTCGGACAGCGAGGAAGACGGCATCGAGCCGGAGAAAAAGTGGAACACAACCACTTCCAAAAACAATGAGCGGGGCCCTCTCCACAGCACTCCCAAAGGTACTCCCGGTGCAAGCCGCAGATTTGAGAGCACTGGATTTATTCCCTTCTGAAAAATGACTTGAGGGATGATGGAAAATTTACCATAGCATTTACTAGCATAGGATGACAGCTCTGTATCCCTACTGCTGCCCCTAGCTGCTGCAAAGAGATCTGTGTTCTGTCCAGCTCAGAGGGCCTTTCTTCTGTCCCAGGGGCTTTTTCCCTCAGTAAATTAATGCATAAGCATGAGGGATGCACAAGCACTTGTGCAGAATTGGGTGCTGAGGGGTCCCTGCATCACCTGGAATGGGCACCTCCATGATGGGGGAGGCAAAGAAGATGAAGGATAGTTAGAGGGTAGGAAGAAACACCTGCCTCTCCTCATGTGCAATACAGGCATAGGGTTTTAGTGGGGTCAGGAGAGGCTGTGGATCTACAGGGTTCAAGAACGTGAGAGCACCCAATGCCAACACTGTGCAGCTGGGTACAGGCTCTTTTRGACACAGTTCACCTTACCCTGAAGGTAGGTAGGTCATCTTAGCAAAATACACATGTCCAAAGATTGGAGACAGGAATCTACCCTCAGTCAGTCAGTGTGTTTGTGTTTTGAGGGCTCCTGGTGGCCACCTCCTCTTTCACCTTCTGTTGTGTTAGTGCAAGAGGCAGTTCAGGCTTCAGCCAGCCCAACTTTATTCCCACCAGGATTTCCACTGGCTCGTATGCCATTAGCATGAGCTTTAAAAGGTTTCCTTTAATGAGCTTTAAATGGACCCCTTGGTCCATTCCTTGCCATAGCTGCTGGGGTCTGCCAAGTCCAGTTGGAGGCCTGTGGCCAGTGGTGTCYCCCAGGGGTCAGTRCTGGGCCCRGTGCTGTTCAACTTGTTTATCAATGACCTGGACGAGGGCACGGAATGCACCCTGAGCAAGTTTGTGGATGACACCAAGCTGGGTGGAGTGGCCGACACTC